GTTCCTAGATACGCTGAGCAACTTCATCAACTACAGAAAAATATATTTGAAAGAAATCAGTGAAAAGAGTTAACTGAATTGTTAGGGGGGATAATAATTTTGGGACAAAACACTTCACCTGTTTTTTTTTTAACACCAAAGTAATGTTACTTAAATAAAAGTTTATTTTTTTCTCTTTTTTTGTATTTGGGTTCAATGTTATTTAAAAAGAAAGAAAAGTTTTGAATAACTATTGAACTTTATTGACCTCATATTGGAGAAATGTACCCCTGCATTTAACCCATCCCTTGGGGAGCAGTGGGCTGACATCGTGCGACACCTTGGGAGAAATCGGGGGTTAAGGGTCTTTGCTCGGGAACCCAGAGTGGCAGTCTGTGGGGATCCAACCGGGTACTTGCAACCTTCTCAGAGCACAAACACACTACTCTAACCACTAGTCCAACACTCCTTCAAGTCCTAGACCAGAACAGAGGTAGTAGTAAAAGTCCTCAACCACATTTCAAACAGGTGCCAGTGATTTTGGAGGGGACTATATTTCATTTAGTTAACCTGGTTAAATTTAAATGGTGCATGGGAACATCTTCAAGGAATTTATTTTTTTCATTCATGGATGTCAAGCGCACAGGTATTTGTTGGTGGGGGGCTTAGGGTTGGTGGAGCTACACCAAACTGATATAATGTTAATTTTGCAAAGATGCTCTGTTGAAAAAAAAGTAATTTTTTTTGTAAATCATAAAAAACAGGATTAGACAAAATAACATTTCATAAAAACTATTTATTTATAATAAAAGTACAGTGCATTAATTGAACTGATTAAACACAAAAATCATTTTTAAAGTTTCCCTTTTCAGCAACAATAGAGATTAAACATACATATAATTAGAAATATAACTGTTGCAGATTCATATAATCAGTTTGAGCCAACGGACGCATATTTGGTTCATTGGGTTCATGTTGGAGCTTCTGGTATTACTGGAAATAAGGGTCTGAAGGTCTGGTGTGATACCTGGCCAGTCTGCTCTGAAACCACTCACCATGGACACCGCTCAACATAATGACTTTACATAAAACAGACATAATGTTCTAAAGCACAACTTTCTAATCAGCTTTGTTGGGAAAAGTGTATGCACCAAAAATATATAAAGCAGCTTCTATTTTGGGTTTAGATACAAAAAGAAAAAAGTATTTTATTTATTTATTTTTTTATTCAGTATTGCATTAGGTAATAAGAGAAGGTAAAACCAGAAAACAGGCTTAGAATAACTTATTGTCTTTAGGTACTAAAAAAAGACAAAGCATACAGATTTTGTTTTTTTTTATTTTATTTATCTATCAGAGAATAATCCATTATTTGGGGGAAACAAAATATAATCACGATAAGTTGAAACTGCCATTTATCATGATTTCTTCAGATGAATCATTCACTTCATTCTCTGAATCTTTATTGAGGAATACAGTTAAAGACAGCAAGGCACATTTCGCAACGGCAAAGA